GGGTTTGTTATTAATGAGTACAAGGAATATAGATACAAAATATTTGTTTTTAGATAAAAAGTATTACGGCATTAGTTAAATAGTAGTTAAAGATAATATTATCGTAAAACATTAGGAGTCAGTAATAGTTTTTAATTACACGACTCGGGCAGTCAGAGGGCCAATAACTAAAATCAAGCAATCAAAATGCTAAATTTGCGGTGAATATTCTCTCAGTATTGGACCGGGCGCTGTCCCGAATGGTCCCGAATGATACCGCACTTGTGTCCTTTTGAACTCCAGTCGTATAATAAATCTCTTATTAACCAAGCTTGCTCGGGACCGTACTGGAATAATATCGGCCCTCGGTCTTTTTTGTACGGACCGAGCTCAGCGAGGTCCGTACTGTCAAGAGCTCGGGCCGATATTCTCCTAGTACGGCCCTTGCGATTGCTTAATAAGATGTATATATATTATAACCATCAGTCACAGAATTCTTGCGGATTTATTGAGGAGAACTGGAAAACGGCTTGATTTTCTTAACATCAATAGATAAAGAATTCCAAAGTTTTTGACCAGTCTAACAGAGAGAACGAATGCCGTACAGAGTGGTTTGAACAGATTCAACAAACAGATTATCAATCTGTGATTGACGTGTATTACATGAATGAATAGAGGATACTGGGTTAAAAATAATCAACAAAACAAGAAGGGCTTAGTTTACGGTACCACTGATAAACAAAAGAGAGAATTTCAAGATGAATTATATCAGAGAATTTTAGGAGTCTGAGAGACTTCAGCAATGGCTCAGAATGAGATCTAGGGTCAGAAAAATTCATTACTCTGACGACTCACTTTGGCAAAGCAGTTACTGGTTTTAGATAGTTGGGTCTGTGAGACCCAAACTTGAATACCGTAAGCAAGAGAGGGAACAATAAAGGGAACAATAAAGCATAATAAGTTTATCAACATCAACATAGTACCTTAATTTGGAAAATATGCCTACAGTTTTCTGTAGTTTTAGGCAGAGTACATTGACATGATTTTTCCAAGTCAAATTTGAGTCAAAAGTGACACCTAAGTATTTGACCGTGGAAACCTCTTGGACATTCACACCATCAATTTTTAAATTGAATGATTTGTATGGTTAAGTCTCTTAGAATGGAAAAGAACAAAATTAGTTTTCAAAATACTGAGAGTTAGTCTATTCGATTTCATCCAGTCAGCCACTGCATGGAGCTCTTGATTCAGGATTAGTTCAAGATCATTAAGGTTTCTACGTGAACAATACATATTAGTGTCATCAAGAAATAAGTGAAAACTAAGCAGTTTCGAGGGGTTCGGTAAATCATTAATAGATAGCAAAAATAA